CCGGATGTCGATAAGGCAATTCTTCTCGAAGACGATTTGCTGTTGGCGCCTGACGTGCTGAGGTGGGGCGGGGCGGATCTCATGCGCATAGAGTCATATACTTTTAAATCATACTAATTAAAGATAAAGTTAGACAACAGAATGGATAAATTGAAAGTTTCGTATTTTGAGAGATAGATAAATTGACTGAATATATTAATATGTAAATAGGTAATTTGATTTTTAACGTTAACGGCGTATTTTGTTCAAAGTTACAGATAAACTAGTGGATTAATAGGTCGTTACTCTGAAAATAGATAAATTGGTAGATAGACAAATAGGTAATTAGGCAGTAGTTTTATCGGCGTTATCTTATTCTAGAGAATGATAATAATAACAATATTAATAAAAATGATAACAATAACAAAAATAAAAACACTGACAACAGCTATAACTGTGATAACAACACCAAAAATAACAAAACAACAATAACAACAAACAAACAATTACACCCATATTTAACAAATCATTCTCCCCCTCCCCCTCCCACCTCCCCCGCCCCCCACAGCTTCTTCCACCAGACGGCCTGGCTCCTGGACCACGACCCGACCCTCTTCTGCATTAACGCCTTCAACAGCAACAGCCTCCCAGGAGTGGCGTCCGACCCCACGAAAATCCTGCGGTCTGAGTCCTTCCCTATGTACGGCTGGATGGTCAGGAGGCAGTACGCGCTACAGGCCGTGCTGCGCTGGATTCCGTATGGGGTGAGTCCTTTTGGTGGGGAATAAGGGGTTGGATTGGGCAGGCGTTGGGTAGGACTAGCTAGGGTTAGGTAAGGTTGGGTAGGGTTGGGTAGGACTAGCTAGGGTTAGGTAAGGTTAGGTAGGGTTGGGTAGGTCTGGGTAGGGTTAGGTAAGGTTAGGTAGGGTTGGGTAGGACTAACTAGGATTAGGTAAGGTTAGGTAGGGTTGGGTAAGGTTGGGTAAGGTTGGGTAGGGGGTTGGGTAGGTCTGGGTAGGGTTAGGTAAGGTTGGGAAGGGGTTGGGTAGGACTAGCTAGAATTAGGTAGGGTTAGGTAGGTCTGGGTAGGATTGGATTGGGCTGGGTAGGATTAGATAGGAATGGTTAAGGTTGGATAGGACTAGCTAGGATTAGGTAAGGTTGGGCAGGCCCGGGTAGGGTTAGGTAAGTCTGGGTAGGATTGCTTTGGGCTGGGTAGGATTAGACAGGAATGGGTAGGGTTGGGTAGGACTGGATAGAATTGGGTAAGACCTGTCTAGGATTAGGTAGGTCTGGGTAGGCATAGTCAGGGTTGGGTACGATTGGGTAGGACTAGGCAGATTTGGGTAGGACTGGATAAGACTGGGTAAGGTTGGATAGGACTGGGTAGGATTAGACAGGATTGGGTAGGGCTAGGTACGGTTGAGTAGGATTGGGTAAAATTCTGTTAGGATTAAATAGGATTGATCAACTGGAGATTTCGAGATGTTGTTTAGATATAAAAAATGGCCACAATTGTTTTTGGTGTTTGGGAAAACAGATCTTAGTGCTGGACAATGTTAGTAAAACTGGCAAATAGGAGAAAAAAAAATATATATAAAGGCATTAGATTGGTTTACACTAATCTTACTTTTGTTTCAGAAGAATTTGTATGATTTTCTGTCATATCACTGTGGCTTTTAAGGCGACATTTTTTTTAACCTGTAATACACGATTCGTGTTCTTTTTTTCTTACGATTTTCAGTTAAGATCTGACGATTCTTGCGGTTATTACTGTTATATTTTGACGACTTCCCTTCATATTCTTACATTTCTTCTGATTTTTCCGTTATATTATTGAAGATTTCACGATTCTTATGGTTATGTTCATCCGCGGTTCTGTTATGTTTACTTTCCTTATTTTCCTGTTCTTTCATCGCCTATCCTTAGACTTTTTCCTGCATCTATCTCTTTCGTTTCATTTTATTCCTTGTTATTGTTTTTAACAGCTGTTATTATCTTTTCTCATTATGTTATTTTTTCGTCTTTCATCTCTTCATATTATTTAATCTTCTCCTTTCAAATCCTTCCCTCCGTTTTTTTCCTGTTTATGTCCATTCCTTCTTTTGTTACCATTGTCTTTCTTCTTGCTATGCCTTCCTTCCGTCCCTTCCTTATTCCTGGTTCTCCTCTTTTGGTTTCCCTCTTCCGCAACTTCTAATTCTTTCTCTTCTCTCTGCATTTTCTAAATTTGTTTATCCTTTCCATCCTATATTTTCTAATTCCTCCTTATCCTCCATTTCCTTAAGCTCTTTCGTATTCTCCATTTCCTCCACCTCCTCCTTCTCAATTTCCTTCACCTCCTATTTCTCCTCTTCCTTCCTTTTTTATTTGTTGACGTCCCTGTTATCCTCTTCTTTTTCAATTTCCTCCATCTCCTCTACCTCCTTATTCCGCCTTTTCGCCTCCTTCAAATCCTCCTTCTCTACCTCTTCTTTTTCCTCCATTACCCTCCCCTTTCTCCCTCTTTTATCTTCCTCTCCCTACTCTCTCTTCGCCTCCTCCTCCTCCACCTCCTCCTCCTCCCTCCCCCTCCACCTCCTCCTCCTCCCTCCCCCTCCACCTCCTCCTCCTTCCCTCCACCTCCTCCCTCCCCCTCCACCTCCTCCTCCTCCCTCCCCCTCCACCTCCTCCTCCTCCCTCCCCCTCCACCTCCTCCTCCTTCCCTCCACCTCCTCCCTCCCCCTCCACCTCCACCTCCTCCCTCCCCCTCCACCTCCTCCTCCTCCCTCCCCCTCCACCTCCTCCTCCTCCCTCCCCCTCCACCTCCTCCTCCTCCCTCCCCCTCCACCTCCTCCTTTTACCCCCTCCTCCACCTCCTCCTCCTCCCTCCTTGCCTAACCCTTTCCCGCTCCCTCAGGTGGGCGACTGGGACTTCTGGCTCATGCGGGCGGACTCCCAGCGCGGGCGTGACCTAGCTTCGCCCGAGGTCAGCCGCACCTTCCACGCAGGGTCAGCCGGAGCGCACGTCGACGGCTTCGAGCAGCAGCTGTACTACGGGCGGATGATGATGACGAGGGACCCGGATGTCAGGCTGGAGAATCTGACGAGGTGGGTGGGGAGGGGGGTGGGTAAGGTGGGTGAGTGAGAATGGGGTGGGTGAGTAGGTAAGGAATGGGTGAGGTGGGGTGGGTGAGTGGGTAGGGGATGGGTGAGGTGGGTGAGGAAGGGAGTGGGTGCGAGGGGTGAGTGAGATGGGGTGTGAGTGGGTAGGGGATGGGTGAGGTGGGTGGGAGAGGTGGGGGGGGGGTGGATGCGAGAAGTGAGAATGGGGTGGGTGAGTGGGTAGGGGATGGGTGAGTAGGTAAGGAATGGGTGGGGTGGGTGAGTGGGTGCGAGATATGGGTGAGTGGGTAAGGAATGGGTGATGTGGAGGAGAGAGGTGGAGGGTGGATGCGAGAAGTGAGAATGGGGTGGGTGAGTGGGTAAGGAATGGGTGAGGTGGGTGAGGAAGGGAGTGGGTGCGAGGGGTGAGTGAGATGGGGTGTGAGTGGGTAAGGAATGGGTGAAGTGGGTAGGGGAGGAGGGTGGTGGGTGCGAGGGGTGAGTGAGGTGGGTGGGTAAGTGGGTGAGGTGGGTGGGAGGGTGAGGTGGGGGGTGGTGTGAGGGGTGAGTGAGATGGGTGGGTGAGTGGGTAGGGGATGGGTGAGGAGGGTGGTGAGTGCGAGAGGTGAGTGAGATGGGGTGGGTGAGTGGGTGGGCTATGGGTAAAGGATGGGTGTGGCGAGTGGGAGTAAGATGAGTGAAAAGGAGTGGTTAGGGGAGGGGATGATGAGTCATGAATGAGTTAGGTGGATGGGAGAGATGAGGTGGGGGAGTGATGGTTAGGAAGGGGTGGATACGTGGGTGGATAGTGGATAAGGTAAAGAGGAAGTGAAGTGGATAAATTTGATAAAGTGCTTTTGAAATGTTGTGATCTGGTATTTTCACAACGCTACTTTTAACCCCTAGTACCCATACACATAGTTAAGATCATGCCGAATTGAAAATGTAACAAACATCAAAATAATGAAACTATAACAAACCAACACAAAAATAAAATAAAATAAACAACAACAAAACAACAACAACAAGAAAACTCTTACGCCCGTTTCCCTTCAGCATCCTCTTGGACAACTACATGCGAAATCTAACGGACGAAATTAAGTCCGCGGAAATGCTGTCGCCAAATCCTTTAGACGAAAACCTTGTACCCGAAGGACATCCGGGACCTTTTGTTGTGTTCGTGAGGTCCGGCACAAGGAACGATGAATTCTACAGCTTCAGGGTATTCATGATGGTGAGTCAGGAGAAGTTATGGTGAGGTGTTCTGTGGGATATATTTCCTGTGTGTTGCATGACAGCTTTTGAAATATTTTAGATAAGTTGATAAGTAGGTCCATAGATGGATGAGTACAAATATGAATTAATTGGTTAATATACATGAATAAATTCATATAAAAAACATGAATATCATATATACGAGGTAAAATACTACACTTATCAATACCAAACTACTAAAATGCAATACCTCCCACCGAAACACATATAATAATCAAACGGGACCATCATCAGCAACACCGCTATAACCACCAACATACCACCAGAAACCACCACAATCACAACCACCAACCACCAAAAACCACAACCAATATCACCAAGAACTACAACTACCACCAAACACCATCACAATCACAACCATCACCAACAGCCACAACCACCAACCACCATCATCAACAACCACAACCACCACCAACTACAACCACCAGCCACCATCACAATCACCACCAACAACAACCCCACCCCCGCTCATTACCAACCTCCCCCTCCCTATTTCCAGAGCCTGAGCACCTACTACTGGGACACGCGCGAGGTTTTCAGAGGAGTCATGCGATTCCGTGTGGGCGGTGGGCGGCTCCTGTACGTGGTGGGCTGCCCGCTCTCCCAGGACTTCTGGTCAGTTTCGCCCTTATTGTCGGTGATGTTACTGTTTGTTGTTGTTGTTATTGTTGTTGTGGGTGTGGGTGTGAGAGAGTGTAAAGGAGATGGTGAGGAGGATGAATGCTAGAGTCAGTTTTTGTGTGGTAATTTTTTGCTTTTTTATTTTTATTGTTATTATATATTTTTATTTATTTATTATATTAGGTCGGTTCTTCAGGAATGTATGTGTGCACTAATTAATTTATTTGTTCATTTATATTTCATTTATTTGTTTTTTTCTTGTAAATGGAATCTCCTGAAATTCGATTTTTGTTTATTGTTATTCTACACTTAGTGAAAAGATAATAAATAATAGCAAATACTAAGAAAAAACGAATGAATATATTTCGTCTTAATTTATCTGTCTCTTCAAGACCGATCACAATAAAAAAATCCCCCTGTCGCATATATGATGTAAATTAGTAGATCAAGAAATCCATTTCAACAAGGAGACAGATCAAGAAATCTAAATATAATTTCCTTTTCTCTTGACACAAAACAACAACAACGAAACCATTACGCCCGTTTCCCTTGGTCCCACAACAAGCATGGTGCTACAAAGAAATAAAAACAATGTTTAATATCTTTCCTCTTCTTTCACAAATGAAACTGATAAAAACAAGTAAACAAATAGATTAACTAGTTCTTACCTTTCTGTTATATATACAATGCATAGAGTAGAAATATTATACATTTTAGATCTTACTCCCATTTTCCGTCGAAAAATACTACGAAAATAATTATAAACATGCAAGAAAATCTGTTTTTAACTTCAATTTCTCTAATAATTATTATTGCAAGAGAGAAAAAATAGCTAGATTTTTTCCTATTCAAACCAAGGTATTCGAAAAAAACAGAAAACAAAAAATAAAAGTAAATACAATAAGACTTACGAATTCTTGTTTTTCCTTTCATTTCGTAGCAAGTAAAACAAACGAATAAATAAACGAATAAGTAAATCATTCAGTAAAAAAAAAAAAAAAAAAAAAAAAAATACATCTCAATTTTTTCCCTTTTTCTTTTTCTTTTCTTTTCTTTTCAGTAAGTACAACCCGAAAGGCTACATGACCCTCACGCCTTCGAAAGAGCTGGTGAGCGAAGTGCAGCGGAAGGTCGACCTGTTCGAAGCCAGTCTTTCCGAAACCCGCGCCCGACACAGGGTTCGCGCTGCCGATCCGGCCAAGGAGGCGCAGCTGCTCAACTATGTGTGAGGGAAACGCTGGGCTTAGCGTTCGGGTGTTGGCGCTGGGGTGTTGTTTGTGTTTGTTCTGCTTCTGTTTGTTTTGTCTGAAGTGTTTTGTGTATGCTTGTTAAGTATGCAAGAACATGTATATATATGTAGTCATATACACACGCCTATGCCACACACACAAACAAACACACACACACACACTCAAACACAATTGTTTGTTCTGGCTTTTTATCTTTTTATTCCCCTGTTTTGTGCTTTTGTATTTTTGTGATTGTTTGTGTATTTCATATTCATCATCCGTTTGTCCCTGTTATTTTTCTTCGTTTCCGATTCTCCTCCTTCGTCTTCATTTCCTTTTCTTTCCCGACAAACCTCTTTCTCTTTTCTTTATTGCATTGTTGTTTCTCCTATATCCTGCAAGTGTCATTTGGTACATAAATGAACAATGATGACACATACTACACTGTTTCCTTTATCATATACTATATAAAAAAAGAATAAATACATGAATAAATCGAGAATAACGAACAAAAAACCTTTCTTCCCGAAGTTTTCCTCTCCTCTCCTCGCGAAGTAACAAGGAAAAATGGCCTCGGCGCGCAGACTAAACAGCCACTCGGAAGAAATGCAGCCGACATACGAAAATCGCATCGGGGAGCGTGGCCCTTGCTAATGGCGCCGAAGTTGTTTTTTGAAGAGCGATTTATCCCGCGAACCATTCATTTCCCTTGAGCTTCTCTCCGGTAGGCAGGGATGCGAGCTCGTGAAGGGCGGTGAGCATTCGTGCATGAACCGCTAGACACATCATTACCACTCGTAATGATCTCACTTTCCCGCCCAGCTGCTTTAGAGTGGCACATTTCGATCTTCGTTTTTTTTCTTTTTTATTTTAGGCGGGAAGAGAAAGAGAAAAGGGAATATAAAAGTGAATAAAAAAGAATTTGATTATCATCATTTTCATTATTGGTGGCAATTATACAATTTAGGAAGAAATGAATGTTTACCAGAAAAAAAGTGATAATTTTCTGTTTTTTATCTTCATCCTGGAGGGAAGAACAGGCGATGAAAAATGTGACGCCACTTTCGTTAAAAAAAAAAAAAAAAAAAAAAAAAAAAATACACCCGACCCAAACTGGTAACTTGGTCGCCAACAAGTGGTTCAAACAGAGAAGACGGAGAAATGCCTCCAGCTCATCCATCGTTGAGTCTTCCACTCGGCTCCACAACTGATGAATGGCGCCCGTTAGTAGCGCCGTAGGTTCGCTGTAATGACTTATTTAATGATATTGATGGTCCGCATTTCAAAAGCCATCTATCCCAGGTGGTGGACT